GAGCGCGTTACTTCTGTAGTAACTTACGATAATTTACTCGTTTACGCTGAGTAAATTACTGTAAGTTACTACAAAATTCCGTTTACGCGAAGGAATTATCGTAAGTTTAGTATGGGCTGGCTCTAATACTTTTTCGCCGCGGTGTATAACATCTGTCGCTCGACGTTCGCCGCGCCGCGCCGCGCCCCGCTCGCCGCTCGTCTCTCGACCCCCACCGCTCGCCGCGCGCCGGGCACCGTGCCAGCCCAGCCAGCCGCCGAGGCCCGCCTTTATCGCTCCTTGTGCGCTCATTCGCTCAGACGTTTTATTTAATAACTCGTTAACTATTGCGAATTTTGCAAAATGGTACGAGACTTTTCTTTTCAGTTTGACCCAATCTACCCCCCGTATTCGGGTGGTTACTTTTATATCGAACACCCTGTATATATCTTCCTAGGTTATTTTCCTCGTTTATAAAAAAAAACATATTTTTTCAAGAAATATTAACAACAGGTATACATAACATATTTATAGTAATGTTAACAATCTTTTCTACAGGTTGTTTTTTTTTGCAACATAAAAAATGGAACGAACACACGAGCATACATCTACAACATCCTGTGCCATCTCCGCGAATATGCTCGCACGTGAGCAAAAACTTTCTCACGATTTACAACAAATTTCTTTTCCCACCTCCATAGAATATATTTATACACCGCTTGAATACGCCCGTGAAACGCATGCTATGTACGTACGCAAATACTGTACTACAACAAAAAAAATATTATTCGTTGGCATGAATCCTGGACCATGGGGTATGTCACAAACTGGAATACCATTCGGAGAAATAAATATTGTGAGAGATTGGCTTAAAATCTCTGGTCCTGTTGGCAAACCTTCAAAAGAACATCCCAAACGAAAAATACAAGGATTTAACGGTACACGCAGTGACATTAGCGGACGTAGATTGTGGAGCCTTTTTCGAGATCTGTGTAAAAGTCCTGAAAACTTTTTTCGTGTGGCATACGTATACAATTATTGCCCTATAGCATTCATGGATAATAAAGGCAGAAATATTACTCCTGTGGAAATAAAAGTAAGTGTTTACCTTGTCTCATTCTATTTTCTTCAACTGAACTCCGGCGCTGTTTCAGGGTGAAGAACAAAAACGTTTACAAAATGCATGTGATGCAGCTCTGCAAGATATAATACAACTTCTAAAAGTAAAAATCGTTGTTGGCATTGGCATCTACGCTGAAAAAAGAGCACAACATGTGGTCCAAACTGGAGGTCTTTTAGTACAGGTATGGTATACAACGTTGTTTACAAGTACCGTGACGACAACATTTCAATTTACTTCGAGAAAACGACTTTTTTAGGTACGAGGCATACGACATCCCAGTCTAAAAGTTATGAATAATCATAAATGGCTAGAAGCGACCCGACAACGATTAAATACATTAAATCTACTTAAGTATTTCAGACAAATTAGTCCGAACCCTTAAACTTTTTTTGATATAAAGAACATCGCGTCTTTAATCATGAGATATCACGAACAATCAGTTTTTTTTCATCACTTAAATAAACTGTTACTTTTTGTGGAAAAAATGATGTTACATGGAATAAAAATAAAAATTTTTTCATTGTTTCGTGCATATTAAAATCGTTTCAATATTAATAAAATATGTTTAAAAACACGTCACGCAAGTTTACATTATAATACGTTATTTTTGTTATACTTCAAAAATTGTCTTTTCGCATTTCATGTGTTAAAACTGCATAATTCTATAACAAAACGATATTGTAGAGCTTTTTTGTATACATTCGTATCATGCGTGGTTTTAACCATACATTATATTTTGTATTACGCGTTTTGTTTTATACATTACCATATCTATATATACACAAACAATGAAAGAATATATTTAATGTAAATTCGTACATCCTTTCTAAAATTTAAACATTATTCATATTAAAATATTAAAACATTTTTCACGTATAAAAAAATATATTTGTTTGTTTTAAAAAACGTTATCTATATTAAAAAATTGAGTTCTCAATCATACGTATAATATCTTTTTTTATTTACAAAAAATGTAGTCAAGTTTTTGATACATACATATGTCAAGTATAACTACTATGCATTTAACAAACGAACAAATTTCGTGTTATCTATTCAAGCACACTGTGCATCCATTTTTCTGTTTTTCTCCTACGCTTTTACTCTAACTTGATTCATCCACTAAACTATATGCACGTCGTCCTTTATTCATTTTTTCACTGGTGTTTAACAATCTCATATTATAATAATCTTTCTTTTAATTTTTCTTAAAAATCGACACGTTCAACAACGAGTGCTTTAAAATTCCTTTAAAAAATATGGTTTACATCACGTGCAAAGTACTTTCAAAAGTTTATACATACATATATATGATACACATCACATATTGCATATATATATATATATATACTCAGATAACACAACTGATTTTTCAAACATCAAAAAAATTTGAATCTAATCTTTATAACATTCGAAAACGTAACTATACTATCTGAATATACATATATTTATGATATATATGAATATGTAATAGATATATATACATATCACGTACACCATCAACGACATGATTCCGTACAAGTGCATTATTGTAATTTAAAAATCAATATCAATATTATATTAAATATAAAGAAAATATATACTTACGTATTCATATGTACTATCAGGAAGCGTAGTCTTAAAATTTAGAAAATATAGAAAATTTCTATATAAAATTACAAAACGAGAAGTGAAAAAATAAAAAAAATAAATGTTATACAAACATGTAAGTGTTGTTTTTATATCATCTTGTAAAATAAAACAGTGATGTCACTGTCATCTCGTTTTACAAAAGTTAAAACTCACGCATCTCATAAAACGAAATATTAACGTTAATATATGTATATATATATATATATATATATATATATATATATATATATACACACGTACTCATAGTTTTAGAGCGTAATATATGTGGGGTGTTCCATCATTCTTGCAATTCCAACTTGTTAATTGTTTGAAAGCGCGATGAGACATTGAGGAGAGAAGGGTGAATATTGCCATCTATGATATTTCATAGAAAGTACTAGCGATTTTGTAAACTCACTTCAGTTGGCGAATCTAGTTCCCTAGAAAAATTGTATAGCGTAAAGCGCTAGAGGCGCGACGTATCGATATTCAATTCATGTAATTGCCGCGTGAAGAAGAAAGCGCGCGTGCATGCACAAGCTTGCGGCCCGGGCAACTGGCGTTATTCGTTTCTTGTTTGTCAATAAGTGAAGACATGTTTCTGACTTTCTGCCGTATAATCTGAATTCGGTATTATATTGAATGCGAGTCATTCTAACTACAAGATGTGATACTTATATAATCGAATGAGAAGTACGAGAGGATCCAAGGAACTGTAATGAGAAATACGAGAGGATCTGAGGGACTGTAATTGGCACACGGCAGGATCAGGGCTCGATATCATTCTCAGACGTATGAGAGATCAACGCCATTACTCCGTTTCTTGATGATGACGGCACATTCTGGAGAGACCAAGGGAGCGACTATTATGGACATAGTCCGTTCGGATCTTTTCTGGAAGTGCATTCAAATACGGTAGACACCAGAATACAGGTAACTCTTAGATTTCTGAATAAGAATCATTGATCCTCATAAACAGTATCGGTTACGATCATTGATTCCAGAAATCTCGAGAGATCTACCGTTCAGTAAAGGACATAAAAAAGGCTTCAGCACTCAGCGAAGCATTTTATCGACGGGAACGATAATCGTTCATTTCACTTGAGTACTCAAGATATTTATTTACGGGTTGCAACCATTTTTTTTGACTGTTCATTCTTGCTATTTCATTTTGGCCAAGTAAAGTAAATTATGTAAGCTTACGACACGTTTAATTCTATTTTGGGTGAAAATTAATTTCACATATTTCTTTATACATATTGCGAAGAGATTCATTTGTTTAATCAATACGAATTAATGCGTCAAATGTTTAAGATAAGATGTATATTGCTTCAATTGTTCTGAACAAGATTCGCCATCAAATTCAACGCTCATTTATTCAGAAATTATATTCAACGGTGTAACATACAATACATCGATTCATATGAAATACTTTAAATCTTCGTTGCGTTTTCACGAATCGATGTTGAATTAATGCGTTTAATAAAGATTATTATTTAACGCATTATTCACTTATAAAAATTTATGTGTATGATTATTTTGATTTATTATTAATTATGATATTATTTTCTTGTCATGTTTAATAGTCTTTTCAGTGATTAAATAATTTAAGGATACATTTAAGTATATCATATCATATTAATTCTTTCGTTATAATTACCTTGTAATATATTATTATTTTACATTTCAAGTTTCAAATTGAGATCATACAGTCAACTAATGTTTATATTCCTGTCATTAAACGGACTATTACAATGTGAATTATATATTGTTTCTTGATTAATATGATTATTTAATTTGCCATAATGGTTTATGAATACGATTGAAAATTATCCTGCTATATTCTAAATATATTTTATTTTGTCAACAATTAATACTCAGTGTTTGCACCGCCATAGCCCACGATCTATACGGGTTGTGTACATTAATATTCACACAATCTTCCTGTTCTTTTTTGTGACTAACAACTGGATATGGACATATCTCATTTTAAGGTATGTCAGAAAACATCGGTGAATCCTAGGGAGATGTTTTGGTGTTAGAACACCTTCCTCTTCCAAAAAAAAATCAATTTTGCTGGATCTGTGTAAAAAATTTAGGGAAAAAAATGCATTAAACGTTAAAGCAAAAACATTTGGTCACTGAAATATTTATTATTGCCAAGTAACTAATGTAAAAATATCGAGTACTACTTACTATATGTTTAAGGCAAATGAATTATACCAATAAAAACTTCACGTTGTCTACTATTATAAAAATTTCAATATACTATATGTATATTTAAACAAAA